TTGATGAGATAATGCATGGAAAAGCACATTGTTACAGCAAACAATCCCCAAACTTCACTTTACACAGAATATGGAATCACTGGACAGATGTTGGTCATGCTCACGTCCCTGAAAGACCTGGTGTCTGTGTATCTCACGTACTCTCTGTGTCATTAAAAACAGCATTCATGAACCCAAGAAATCCCTAGCCCTAAACATGAAACTGGAAATATTTTCACAGAAAGAAAAGTACAAACAACTCTCAGTTGTCCACAATGAAGGAAAGTATGACATAGGAGAATGAAACACATAGGTAACCCCCAAACTCATTTTATCAAAACATGACTGGCTAAGAGTTCTGGCAGGAGGCAAATCGCTAAAGAAGAGTCATTTCCTATTATTTTTGCTTTGTTTTTTTTTTTTGGGGGGGGGTCATACTAAGGTGTTACTGAGTATCATATTAAGGTGATACTCAGGTACTTACTCCTGGCTCTACACTCAGGGATGACTCCCGGTGGAGCTCAGGTGACCATATAGGTTGCCTGGGATCAAACCCAGGTTGGTTGTGTGCAAGACAAGTGCCTTACCCACTGTACTATGATCCTGACCCCCCACTCTCTATTCTTGAGCTTGCCATTTTATAAAAGTAAAACAATAATTATAAGTAAAAAAATTGGGGCCTGTGAGAATTTCAAATACAAATTTCATTTTTTTTCTACAAGCTAGATGATCTTATATCGAGTTTTGAGGTTTTGAAATAATTTCTCTTGAATGTTTGTAAAATAGATTTTCCCTTTGCCCTTTTTGACTGGAAAGTGTGTGTGTGTGTGTGTGTGTGTGTGTGTGTGTGTGTGTGAGAGAGAGAGAGAGAGAGAGAGAGAGAGAGAGAAATTTATTCAGTATGAAGGGCCTATTTCACAGAACTTTGAAAATAAAATGAGTTCCAGCAGAGAAAAATCTCCCTTTTCCCTAACCATGAGAAAGTGCTAGAGATGGAAATTGAAAATTTCCCTTCATAACTAGGTGTTGGGAGAGGTATGCCATGCACCCAATGAATTACTCAAGTAAATAGTTTAATGAACTAAGGGAAATACTCGACTGGAGTGTTGAACATTTCTGAAAGTGTTTAATAAAACCAGTTACTTATTAAATTTAAGTATTAATCATAGGTAGATATATTTTGAATTCCCTGGACTTATTTGTACTCTGTGCTACTCTGTGATTTAGAGTTCTTTAGTGCCTCCCCGAACCCCCGTCTTAAGCTTCATCTTTTAACCAACTTTTGCCAATTCAACCCAAAATATAAAGCAAGCGTGTCTTTAACTGGCTGTGGTCAAATATAAAGAACTTAAAAAATCTAAATCTAATGCTACATGGGCTGGAGCGATAGCACAGCGGGTAGGGCGTTTGCCTTGCATGCAGCCAACAGGCTCACCCGAGTTCGATTCCTCCACCCCTCTCGGAGAGACCGGCAAGCTACCGAGAGTATCTTGCTCGCACGGCAGAGCCTGGCAAACTACCCCTGACGTATCCAACATGCCAAACACAGTAACAACAAAGTCTCACAATGGAGACATTACTGGGCCCGTCAAGAAAATTGATGAACAACGAGAGAACAGTGACAGTGAATGCTACATAGATTCGCTCATCAGGAAGATTCCACTATTTTTAAGCAAATTCTTAAAGCCTGGGCATGGTAAACAGACAGTGAACACCCAAGCTGCTCTACAGAGGTTGCATTTTTGGTGGGTCAACGGGAAAGGCCACAGGGGACTTGATCCTCTGTCATCTTGCCAGAGAAAACTGAGTGAGTCTACACACAAAGGATCAAAGGGTTCCAAGTCATGCAAACTGCAATTCAGAGAAAGGATTCTTCAGCTCGAAAGACAGGCCGCTTTTCAAATATGCCACACCAAAGATACAAGAGAACATTCTGAATCACTTTCCAGACCCAGAAAACTATTAACATGATTAGGGATGAGGGTTTTTGGCATCTCTTTAAAAAACTCAGATTTTTCCAGGCTACTGCTACCAGATTTGTGACAGTTTGATAGAACAATTCTGTAATAATTCACAAATGATTTAGGAGTGATGGAAATGTGTCTTAGAACATTCTTAATGTGCGTTAAGAGCACATTGGGTTAAAAATTGTTGCAAGGACCCATTGATTATGGACATTCCAAAATTACTGTGAAAAAAAGACAACCACATATCTGAAAGACATCAGCATAGATGTCTTTAAAATGGACAGCTTAAATTGGTTCTTAAAAATGTGTTAAACAAGAGGACTATAATCAATGTACATAGGAGTAGAGTAAAACCTATCAGTTGTATATATAGGTATCTTATATAATGGGTTCTGTAACTTTGTAAAATTTATACCTCACATTTATTATAATAATGCAATGACATTGTAGCTTTCTGTAATAGTGTAGCTCCTTTACTAAAAAAAAACCACATATTTATCAGGCAACCAAGACTTTCAAAATTCATTCATGTTGTAGGAACTGTTCAGGAGAAACAGCATCATGGACAGATTCAAAAGACTGAGGCAGCTTTTCTTACGAACTTGTGGATGTGATGCTAACATTTAAACTGCCAAGGTAGGACTTAAGAAATGTCATGCACTTTCCACATCTATTCACATCACCCCAAACTGAAATACTGGTCCACTCCAAGGAACGAAATAAATTCAAATCCAATTTTTCAATTGTAATAAGAATGGAATGTATCAAAGATCTTGAGAGAAATCTGAACAAAATAAATAATGTTGGTTATTAAAAGTGATTGGAGGTAAAGGGTAGTAAGGAGATGAGGTGGTTAAAGAATTTCATAATGGAAGAACTAATTGAACTGTGTCAAGTATTGAAAGAAAGGTGAAATTTATCAACACTCTTAAAGGTGTCTTGGTCTTTTAAATAGACTTAGTTATACTACTATACAACCTGTGACTGTTTGGGTTCTTGACAGATGGAGATAGCATATATGGATGAGGTTCTATGTGTTGTATTGGTCCAAAAGCCTGAAGACAGCTACAGTGCTGCTATGATATATGTTCTGGTCTGACACCATCAGAAGTTTACTAACTTCTGGGATGGTTTTTCTATAGACCAATTATTTACTTTATTAGAATCTTTTCAGATTAAGAATGAAGCACATTATCTTCACACATGATTTACAGTAGAAATAAAAACTTCACCACTGTGTAACTATCATCCTTAGAAGCTTCTTAATGAAAGTCATTCTAGGATGTAATTGAAGCATCAGGTAGATCCCACTAGTATTGAAAAAGTAAGTATAGGATGTTCCTTTGTCATCCTTTTGGGCTAATGCATCCCACTTCCCTTACTGGCACAACAGAATCTGACAGTTGGGATAATTAATTGTACTGGAAACCAGTTCAGAGAAGGGGTTTATAAGAGGCCATAATAACTCTTTGCCTTATATTTTTCTTTTTTGGATCACATCGCATATCAAAGTCCTAAAAATTCATTTGAAACACGGTATCTAGACCCTTGTTCTCTCTATGAATATATGGAGTAGCAACTAGTGAGGGTGAAAGATTCCCCTGCCTTTGTAAATAACAGCTGCATTGCTGAAGCGGGCCACATGCTAATCCAGTTAAAGGAAGACTGCAATGTCACACAAGCAAGTCTAATGCAAGAAATCTGCTTTCAAACAAATGTGTTTTCTCACTCCTCTCTAGCCTTTTTTTCTTTCTTTAAACATTTGTGCTATTTTAAAGCTGGTTACCCTATTAAAATAGAAAAAAAAAAGTTGTTTCTTCATTAAACTCAAGCTTGCAGGTTGCCAAAGTAGAAATTTACTATCAATTAGATGATCTTATGGTGAGCCTGGCAAGCTACACGTGACGTATTTGATATGCCAAACACAGTAATAAGTCTCACAATGTTACTGGGCCCGCTTGAGAAAAATCAATGAACAATGGGAGGACAGTGACAGTGACTGGTGGTGAGAAGTAAGACTTATAACATCCCAAATGATCTTATAATTTTTGTTTCATAATTAAGATAGTATGTGACCCCGATGCCTGATTTATAGACATTTACTCTCCAGAGATATCTTCAAATACATGTATGCTTCCCAAATAACACCCTGGTCCACTAAACCTGCATCCAGTACTTTCATGGGCAGTGTCTCAACTCAAAAGGAACATTTAGCATTTAAGCATGCATTTAATTAGACATTTATTTAAATATCTTTAACATGGTTACCCCTAAAAAGGTAAGATCCACTTCAAGGAGTGGTAATTTCAGATTTGTCTCACTGGGCCTGCTCTCTTCTGAAGGGTCCAGCTGGTAATGATGTTGGTAAGACAGATGCCAAGTTCACTCTACTCAGTTCAAACAATTAGTGGGATTTGTTTGCTTATTCGGGCTAGAGCGATAGCACAGCAGGTAGGGCATTTGCCTTGCATGCAGCCTACCCAGCCGACCTGGGTTTGATTCCTCTGCCCCTCTCAGAGAGCCCCGCAAGCTACCGAGAGTATTCCGCCTGCACAGCAAAGCCTGGCAAGCTACCTGTGATGTATTTGATATGCCAAACATAGTAACAAGTCTCACAATGGAGATGTTAGTGGGTCCACTTGAGCAAATGGATGAACAACGGGAGGACAGTATTACAGTGTTTTGCTTATTCATATATGCTGACCAGAAGACCTGGGATGAAAAATCAGTATATTCAAATGTTCTTTCCCCTTAGTTCAAATTGCTTATGGCAGCCCAAAACATTTCTTTCACTCTTATCTCTAAACTGTTATGAGTATCTTAAGTAAAGGGGAAATGCTTCAGAATTAGCACATGAAGTCTGAAATTAGAGACCCTCTTTTCTTCAACAGAGGAACCATCAAGATCTACTGCTGAGATCACTTCTAGTTAGGTAAAAGAACTTAGCTGAATTGTTACCATGAGATTTTGGGCTAGGAAAGCAGAGGAAGTAATCAAGTTTCAATATACTCTCTATCCCAAGCGTTGTGAAAGTTCTATAATAGTTTCTGTGTCTGTGTCTGTTTTGAGGGGCCAAGTTATTAATAAAATGGAAGCACCAGCCTTGGAATTCTATAGCTATTTATACCCTTCTTAACACCCAGCAGATATCTTTCAGCCTATTAACACCCTCAAACATTCAGAATTCTGGGTAGAATGGGGAAAGCACTCCTGGGTAAAGGGAATTCATTATTTAAATCCAATTCCAGCTTGATAAATAGAATGCCTCAAACAAGGTATTTCAATTTCTTTAGTCACAATGCTTTCCTTGGTTACTAAAACAGACATCTCTCCTTGGTAAACTGGCTGGATCCAAGACAATTTCCCTAATAATGAGTATTATTTTAACTTGGTTTTCAATTAAGAGTAAAGCAGATAGTGTCTCCTGAGATTTCTGCTCACAAGCAATTTTGTGGTTACTGTCTCAATAATAAATAATGTCATTTGAATCCATGGCACAAAAATTAGTAGTAAAATTATATTCGGAGGTTCCAGCAGTAGCTTAATCTGAGCAAAAACCTGAAACCATAAAAAGAAAATGAGCCTAAAGACAAATAACAAATCACATGCAATACCAGATGTTAAAGTCCTTATGAATTTAAGATCACATATTTGTCACTTATTGAACACAGGAAATATCCCCCAAATTGAAATGCATGTATGAGCCTTTGACATCAAAGATTTCCCTTGATTATTAGGCAGTATTAATGAAGGCCAATCGACCACTTAATAAAGGCTGTTTGCTGGCAAGCATGCCTTCCGGAGCTGCCTGAGCATGTGGGGACATTATTAACAACCACAGTTGGGCTGCGGTGGTGGTGGGGTCTCCTTGAGTCTTGTATTCTGCTTGGCGGCAGTGATGGCCGGGTCGGTCTCCAAACTCTCTGACATTTTATCACAGATGATATCCACAAGACGCTCAAAGGTCTGCTTGACATTAATGTTATCCTTGGCACTTGTTTCAAAAAATTCAAATCCTGCAAGAAACAGAAGCATATGATCACTTCACACTTCTAAAATGACAATGAAACTTGCACATAATTTTTTCTAGGGGGTCACCCTTGGCAGTACTCAGGGATCACTTCTGTTTCTGCACTCAGGAATCACTTCTGGTAGTGTTCGGGAGACCATATGAGGTGCCAGGGAACGAACCTGGGTAGGCTGAGACCAAAGTAAGCACCTTACCAGCTGTTCTGTCACTCCAGTCAGAAACTTGCTCGACATTTTGAACAGAGATGGTGGGTTTGGTTTGAGGGGGGTAGAAAGTGCCATCTGAGGCAAATGATACTGCTGGTTTCTCTCCTATTCAAAAGATTCTATTATTTGGTAGGTTGTTTTGAGGGTATAGGACTTGGTAATAGTAGTCTCAAATGCAAATGTGTGTATACATATAAATATATATGTACATATATATGTGTATATATCTCATCCACCAACTCATACCAACAAGGGACTATTTACTTTCAGAAAATAGGGAAACCTATAGCTTATATCCTAGTAACAGAAAGTAAGTGTCAGACAGTATGTTATTAAATGAGAAAGGTTCATATTTTATTCTTAATTTATTTATGCTATCATGTCTGAATAGACAAAAAAACGTCTCTGCAAGAGTTAGTAATGGCAGTACCAAGACCCTTCCAGCAAGGCTGTTTCTGACACCACTATCTCCTCCCCCTGGGACCTTCTGGCAATCTTTTCCAGAATTGGTATCACTGGGCACTTTTTTCTTTCCTTATTTCTACTCAAATAATTTTTCATTAATTTGAGCTAAAGGAGACTCTCTACATTCTATTGCATAGGGACATACTAAACATAACCCACGTCTAACTTTTTTCATGTCTGCCCTGCTGCTCAGGAAAGGCATAGGGGTGTGCTTTGAGGAAACTTTTAATATGAAACTAGACACAAGGTGGCACCAAAGAATCACTGGATCTGCTTTTAAAACACGCTTCAACCTCCTTTCACAAATTTGAGTCCTGTTAGTTTAACAGCCCTCCAGGGCTTTGTATAACCTCCGCATCTATCTACTGGTGCTGATTAGTTTTCCAAGCTGCTGTTATCTAGCAGCACAGTATTTTCATTTTTCTTTTACCATCATCTGGGAAAAGACGGGATACATTTCAAATGAAATGCTGAATTACGAGAAGGTATAAAATGCAGTGACATTCCACACATCTGCCGACGTGCCATTGTACCTGTGCCAAAGCAGCCTGCATCTACTGCTCCACACACAGTCTTATCACTCTATTGTCTGCATTCACATTCCACTGGCAGCCCTGCCAGTCAGTTGCCATGACAACCTCCCTACTAGGCCAACCAGGGATTGCTCTGGTCCATTCAAGGGATGTTGATTTAGAATGTGCTGGGCTGAGCACAGAAATGCTTTTCTAATTCATTGTGCATTTTGCACTCTATAAATCCTTCTGGTTACATCTGGTCCTATCTCAGAGGAGCCACACGGATGCAGAATGATTAAATCACGTGGTTTCACCCCGGCTCTGGGGACCAAAGGAGATAGACTGCATTGCATCTGTGTCAAAATTCCTGATAGAAATTTTATCCTAAAAGTGCCTAGTAAACATTTCTGTGCTAATTTAGTCGTGACAATATTTAGCTAGAGGACCATATCTGGGCTTGAATTTTGTTAGCTCCTTGGTCTTCTGTTAAAATCCAATGATTGCAGAATTAGAACTGAAGGAACAGCCAAAGTGTTGGTTTTTAAAAAAATAGTGGTGGATACACACAATGGAATACTATTCAACAGCTATAGGATGAAATCTTGCAGTTCAGTGCACCATAGATGGATATGGAGTGTATCAAATTTAGTGAAATAAGTGAGGGGGAGAAAGAAAAAAACAAGATGATCTCATTTATCTGTGTGTTTTTTTGTTTGTCTATGTTTAGGCTACACCTGGTAGTACTCAGGGATCACTCCTGGCAGGCTTGGGGGACCATATGAGGTGCTAGGGATTGAACTGGCTATTGGCAAGTGTCTACTTGCTATACTATTGCTCTGGTCCCTCAACTGTGGTTTAAAGGGATATGAAAGACAGTATTGAACAATGACAAACCCATGGCCTTGGATTAGAAAAATCAGATTACCAAGCAGTAGGTAATGAATTAAAGGTGACATCGGGGCAGTAGTGGAGGGTGTGTGGACCAATTATTCAATCGTGTTGCCTTTAGCCCTTTGTTGCTACCTTGCTGCCCACGTTCATTTTAAAGGAGGCAAGTATGGATCAAGCAATATATATATTAATAAACTGATAGAAATCAGTATATATATATATATATATATATATATATACTCCTTGCGGAGATATTTCTAGTTAATTTGCACTTTGGTAGTGCTGAAGAGCACAAATTTTGTACTGTCACTGTCCTCCCGTTGTTCATCGATTTTTCCTGTCACTCTCACTGTCCTCCAATTGATCGATTTGCTCAAGCGGGCCCAGTAACATCTCCATTGTGAGACTTGTTGTTACTGTGTTTGGCATATCGAATACGTCATGGGTAGCTTGCCAGGCTTTGCCATGAGGGTGAGATACTCTCGGTAGCTTGTCGGGTTCTCCAAGAGGGGCAGAGGAATCGAACCTGGCTCGGCCAGGCCAATCGGCCTCGCGCAAGGCAAACGCCCTACTGCTGTGCTATCTTTCCGCATCTTATAAAATTGTGTAGATCATTTACAATTTACTAGAGAGGGCAGGAGGTTCAGAAGACCAATATGTAGCCCAAGGTCATAGAGAAAGTTGACTGTGAAGCCCAACAGACACCTGAAAAATAGGTTACTGACTTAGCTTCCAGCCATGGACATCTGTCCCTCAGACATCATCTGCTATAATAATTTCAGAATACAAGGGTGTCTTTGGCAGTGATCACTTTCAATTAACCATAGAATCTCTAATATTTTTCTCATCAGAATCTTTGTAACACTTATTTCTGATCTGGAGGATTCCTAGGTCATAATGTGGTCTATTGTTGACTGAAATAAATATCATTATGCAATAGTCCATGACCATATACAATGGGATATTATTCAGTATGAGAAGAAAATCTATTGGAAAATTACAAATGACCCCAAGGGCATTATTTTAACTGAAGTCAGACATATAAAATCATATTGTATTTGCCTATGCAAAATATTTTAAAAAATGAGCTCACATTTATAGAAAATAGATTGGTGATTCCTAGAGGGGTGAGTAAAATACGTAAGGTACAATTAAAAGGTTCTCCTCTTACACAGCTGATAGAAATGTAAAATGTCATAGTGTCTTTGTACAACAGCCTGGTGTTCCTTTCCTAAATGTCTAACATGCCGATGTTGGCACATACCACTGGTGGTTTATACTAGAGTGTGGCTTATTTGACACAAATTGCTGTGCTGGGGTCAATGAGTTAAACAGTTACTGTATGGACTAGAAATTCTGTCTCTAGGTTCATATCTAAGGGAAATAAAAATTTACCCCCACAAAACCTAAACCCAAATATGTGTGTGTGTGTGTGTGTGTGTGTGTGTGTGTGTGTGTATGTGTATGGATATGGCCAGTGCCAGTGATAATTCCTCAGGGATCATTCCTGGTGGGCTCAAATCCAGGTCAGCTATGTGCAAGGGAAGTGATTTACTATTGCTCCAGTCCCTTGCAATATTTATATAGTCCAAATGTGAAAACAATATGATTGTCCATCAACTGATGGATGTATAAATAAAACACAGTATACGTGTATAGTGGAATATCATTCACTACAAAAAGCCTGAAATTCTGATACCTGCTGTAATATGAATGAATCTTGAAAACATTATGCTAAGTGAAAGAAATCAGACACAAAGCACTACTTATCGTATATGAGCTGTTCCTAATAGGAAAATCTACAGAAACAGAAAGTAGAGTAGTGGTTACCTAGGACAGGAGAAGTCGGGGGAAATGTGGGGGTGAGGGGTGGGGGGGAAGGCAGTGCGTTTCTTTCTGTAGTGATTAAAATGTTTCAAAATTGGTTATGCTAAAGTTTGTACACTCCAAATGAGTGAATTACACAGTTTATAAATTAAAGGAGGTCTTTGGCTGTGGGAGCCCGGGTTGGGGCGGGGAGGGAAACTCAACCTGCTCCCCTCCAAGGGGCCCCAGCGAGGACAGCCAGGCGCGGGGGCAGGAGACTCTGCAGGAGACCTCCAGAACCAGCCACCACCATGCTGAGACCACTCTCCAAAGGTACTGGCAGAGGAACAAAGGCATGCGGGTCCCAGGGCTGAGATCGCCAAGCCTGCTTGGATCTGGGCTGAGCATCCTCTACCCAGATCCTCCAGATTCCAATAGGCAGGGGTCACACCCACCAACTGGCCCCCTGGCGCTGTGTAATCCCATCAAGGGCCAAGATTATAAAACCCAGCTCCCCGAAGCAACATCTTATTATCTCATTCCTACTCTGGACAAAATGGCAGGCTACCGAATGTAACCTGCCCATACGGCAGAGTCTGGCAAACTCCCCGTGGTGTACCCAATATGCCAAATACCAGTAACAATAATGGGTCTCATTCTCTTAACCCTTGAAGAGCTTTTAATATGGCACTTTTTAAAAAATCTCAGGGCTAAGACGAAGGAGACGTTACTGGGGACTGCTTGAGGCAATTGATGAACAACAGGATGGTCATGATCGTGATCGTGATGAATTAAATACTTATACTTCTCACTTGGGATCTATACATATAAAATATCAGAAAACGCCTTTTTGATGCCCACCCTGAGGCCTTTGTAGGGTTAAGTCCATTGTTTGAGCTTTAGCCTCAGGGACATGACAAAGTAGCTGCTTCATCTATGAAGACCTTCTAATAGATTCTGGTGAACAGGAGAAACACATCTTCTCTGCAGGGGTTTCCTGGCATGGCTCTCTCCATGTTGCTCTCTGAAGGGGCTTTGGGTGCTGGGCTCTGAGGTCACTGGCTCTTTCCAGGCTCCAAACTACAGGGCAGCAAGCAGGACCT